CAATCAGTAAAAAGCCTTCTCTCTATAAGACTTAGGAAGCAATTTCGGACGACTTTCCATTTGGCTCCGTGCCAATAACCGATACGGTGGATACGGCTGCATGTATGTACTCATATATCCATGCATCAGTCCTTTCGTTTTATATTTTACTTCGCAAATGAAGCAATGCGTAATTCAGATTATCGACCTCTACGTTATGCACCATGAACTACTACGTAAACCGCGGAAACTCACCTAAACGTAGTTTTGAGAGGAATTCTATCGTAGAACTTCAAAACGTGAGCTGCTTCAGTAATAGCGTACTCCAAGTTCTCGTCTTCGCTCATCAATCGTTCACAGAGACGCCGTTCCAATCTCTTCGGTAGTTCGCCACAGATTTGCTCACAAAGATCCGAGCTTAAAATGAATATACTTACAAGAAAAGAGAGCTACTCTATCAGAGTCGATATATCTAGGCTTTTCCGATAAGGTTTATTAGGTGCACAGCACCCTAGGCATCGAAGATCATGGCGCCCACGGATAAAAATTTTCGCCAAAACCGGATGGAAATAAACTCCAGGTGGGTGAAACGGTCCCCTTGCGTCAAAGGGGTTCTTGAACTACTGAACCCAAATGCCCCACATTACTAGAAGACCACTTATCTGTATAGTAGAAACCTACTGTTCCACTTGAAAATCTGCTCTTAACAAGGATTCCAGTTGGTACAACAGAATTTCCGTCAAAAACGGAGACGTTCGCCACGATAACAATTCACAGCACAACCGGCATTTTTCCGTTTTCGATTCCAGCAATCTGAATTTGAAAGCAAAATCAGTGCCCGTCCATTATCCAAAAAAACCTAGTCATAAAACTCACCTGAACAACACTACTAGCAATAAATTCAGTTGATTATTGTTTTCATTCCCGAAACTATATGCCACTTTATAGATCAGATCTGGAGATAACTGCTCTAGATGATCTGGAATAGAACAGCAGGAATATTCTACTACGTGGTAATAGTATATTCTACAGTATTATGTGTACAAGCCATATCTCGGCTTGGAGGAGGAGTGTCTGCCGACCTAACTGATGGGCGGCGGCGGTGGATACTTCATTGCTTTTTAAATATCTATGATCGGAGCGACCAAGTGACGAAGGTATTGGGTTGGCACATAAGTACTTTCGTTTTTTTTCAACCGGAAATTTCGTTCCAAAGATGAAATGTTTTGCTAGCAAGCTTGATATCATCTGATAGGAAACTTCACGTAGTTTTAGAATATCAAAACGGCTTCGGTTGAGGGAATAATTTTTGTGGATTTTTAGTCGTTGAAGTTGAAAGCGAAGTCGGCGAAAATTAGCACCTTCGACAACTGCCTCTATTTACGTATAGTCGAAGTGCTAAAATCGCTTAAGCTGCTCCATACATTTGGAAAAGGTCGAGCTAGAAGTTCCGGCCAGGGAATCTCACTAGGACGCTTTGGAACGAATTTCAAGAATTTTGAAGTTACCAACCTTCACCTCGCCGATATTGGGCAGCTCACGTCTGTTCCACCTGAAATTTTATGCTAATATTTGAATGTTTCGCTGATATGTTTTGCATGCTCTGATAGCAAATTTTATGCTCTATAAACTACTATAGAAATCTGTTCTTTAGAGGTGTTTGCTTTCTGTTAAGTCCAGGTTATCATTACGGAACGCGAAGTCGTTGAGAACTAGCGTTCCCGTTCTCCACGAATTTTATGCTAACATTTGAATGTTTCGCTAATGTGTTCTATATGTTCTGATAGCCAATTTCGTGCTCTATAACACTGCGTTGCAGTATTTTGAAAATCCGTTTGATGAACCTTGTTTTTCAGGTGGATAATATGGAATGTCAGGTCGATAAGCATCAGCACTTCAGACATCTCCTCCTTTTCGCATTCAACAGAGGTATCAGAGCTGCTGATGCTGCTCGGGAAATTCGCGAAGTGTACGGAGAAGATGCCCCTCTCTCTCAAAACAGCCCAAAATTGGTTCAGACGCTTCAAGGATGGTACTGATACCTCTGTTGAATGCGAAAAGGAGGAGATGTCTGAAGTGCTGATGCTTATCGACCTGACATTCCATATTATCCACCTGAAAAACAAGGTTCATCAAATGGATTTTCAAAATACTGCAACGCAGTGTTATAGAGCACGAAATTGGCTACAAGAACATATACAACACATTAGCGAAATATTCAAATGTTAGCATAAAATTCGTGGAGAACGGGAACGCTAGTTCTCAACGACTTCGCGTTCCGTAGTGATAACCTGGACTTAACAGAAAGCAAACACCTCTAAAGAACAGATTTCTATAGTAGTTTATAGAGCATAAAATTTGCTATCAGAGCATGCAAAACATATCAGCGAAACATTCAAATATTAGTATAAAATTTCAGGTGGAACAGACATGAGCTGCCCAATATCGGCGAGGTGAAGGTTGGTAACTTAAAAATTCTTGAAATTCGTTCCAAGGCGTCCTAGTGAGATTCCCTTGGCCGGAGCTTCTAAGCTCGACCGATTTTCCGATGTCATAGAGCACTAAGCGATTTTGCACTTCGACTATACGTAAATAGAGGCAGTTGTCGAAGATGCTGATTTTCGCCGACTTCGCTTTCAACTTCAACGACTAAAAAATCCACAAAAATTATTCCCTCAACCAAAGCCGTTTTGATATTCTAAAAACTACGTGAAGTTTCCTATCAGATGATATCAAGCTTGCTAGCAAAACATTTCATCTTTGGAACGAAATTTCCGGTTGAAAAAAAACGAAAGTACTTATGTGCCAAACCCAATAAAAAGCCCTTCCCTTAGACTTGAAAATTTAGCCAGCCCCCCCACTATTTTGTACTTAGAGCTTGAATATTGCTATACTTTGAAAACCGTCCTGGGAAAAGGAAAGTGTACAGATTCCCAATTTCACTAAAGTGGTCAATAGCAGCTTTGAACAAAGGGAGCTTAATGTTGTCAAAGGTACATTACAGGCCACAGGGGACTACTATAACAGTAATGCTCACTGTCTTCTCCACTATTTCGTTCAACGAATTTCACTGCGTCACTATAATTACGACTCTCGATCAGTTGTAGTAAATGTAGGGCTGGTTTTAACGCAGCCACCATTTTTCCATCGAACCGCAGACCAGTTCAACATGAAACCGAACTGACTGCGGGATAACTAAAATGCTTACACTCGGCTGTTTCTATATAAGTTTTTTGGTAATCCATTGCTTTTTAAATATCTATGATGAGGATACCACTTACAAATAGGACACGATAAAATATTAATTTAACATTTATCGAAGAACAATTCATAGAAAATATCAAACCACCAGTATAATGGAAAAAAACAATCATGATTTCCAGTAATACGTGTTGCGGAAAAACGACCTAGGACGAAAGTAGAAGAGAAGAATCACACTGGGTGGAGCCGAATGAACTACACGCGCTACAACGAAAATACGTCCAAGAAGAACGAGGGAAAACAAAGCAACAAACAAGTTTGGGTGGGGAACAACGAATGACAGCAACATCACAAAGTGATCTAAATAACCACATGAGGCTACTTGCCCGCAGTTGCTTCGGCGGCACGACGAGCTGCTGCTCGTTTTCCGACCATAGCCGTAAATCCACTTTTGATAGCTGTTACAGAACAACGTGATCCACAGGTATGACATTGAAGGAAGAACAGGCGAGTGTCTTTGGTTAACTCAGTATCGGATGAACGGCAAGTATGACACATCACGTATTCTTCTGAAAACAATTGTCCATATTGCGAATCTCTACTGAGCTGTTACTATGTTCCATAAAGAAATTCGTTTTGGGAAGGGAGGGGGAAAGCCCACTAGGGGAAACCCCGTACACAGTCTCACCGCCCTACTGGATTGATAGGATTGCGCGATCGGTTCTGCCCTTTCTGGGGATCTAGCCGCTGGCGCTCCCGGGAGTGATTCACCTAGAGGACACCTACTCCATATCCAGTTACAGTGCTGTTCAACCAGTCCGTACGGCGGAAGCGGGAGAGAAGTTGTAGACAGTACCCACATGTGCTCCCCTTGGAGTACTGGTCAACTCATGAGAAAATTTTGAACGAACGTCAGGACTTT